CATATGGGCGGATGACGTAGCTGTGGCCATGGAGGATAAAGACACGTCAAGACTTTTGCAAAAAGCATCTAAGGTATCGCAGATTATTCTTGACCGCCTTATGGCTGCAGGTCTGAAGCCAAACATGGCTCATGGCAAGACAGAACTTCTCCTTGAGCTTCGCGGCCCTGGATCAGTGCAATTGCGGAGACAATTGGCTAAAGACGGCTACATGCTGCATATTGACTCTCGCTATGGCAAGGTGGCATTGCATATTGTGGGAGCCTATCGCCACCTAGGAACATGGCTGCAAAATGGTGGCGGTGTGCAACAAGATGTACTGACGCGTTTTGCCATTGCGCATGATACTCTGACCCGTTTTCGGGGCCAAATTTTTGCAAATAGAGGACTGGGCTTTGAACAGAAGAAGAACTTTTTCACAAGCCTTGTCATGAGCACTATTGTTTTCAACTGTGCGGTTTGGACGCCCCGCAACCGGCGTCAACATGCTGCCATCGAACATGCATTTTTCCGACTTTACAGACGATTTGCAGTACTACATTTTGGCCAAAGTGCAATGCAATGGGGAGCTGACCGCCTCTATCGTGCACTGGCCATGCCCAAACCCCATGTTGTACTAATCATCGCCAGATTGCGTTATCTGAGCCAGCTCCTTCACAGCGCTCAGCCGCATACGTGGGCAATGCTGCAGCGGAACCCACAATGGTATCGCCAACTGCAGGCCGATATTGCCTGGTTTGACCAGCTTTGTCCTGAAAAGATGCTCCTGGACTCCTTTAAGGACTCATGGGATGCCTTTGCTCAGGCAATTGGAGAACATTCCACAAGATGGAAAAACTGGCTACGGGCTGCGATGGCGCGTCACATTTCCACGCTGCGTTTGGAATTTGAATGGCACTGGTGGCACGGAGAGATTATGAAGGAGCTCCTGCTACAAGGGTACCAGTGCCTTCCACGACAGTACCACACAGATCCTGCCCATTTTTGCCTCAAATGCAAAAGAACCTTTGCGCGGCGAGCTGATCTTGCTGTTCATTCGTTTAAAATGCATCAGCGGCTCCGGCATGTGAGGCTTTATGTGACCGGCGAGCAGTGTGAGCACTGTCTCAAGACTTTCGAACAACATCTCAATCTTTTGAATCACGTGAACAACAATGAGTCTTGTCTTCTTTTTTACCAGCACAGAGGCCTACGGGTGGAAGCTCAACCGGGTGTCAACAGCCGGGCAGCTAAGCAGAAACAAAAGGTGCTTTCAGCGCCTTTTATGCAAGCTGAAGGACCTTTGTGCCAGCCCCCTGTGCCTGTTAATTTTCAAGATGACGAGCGACGTGCACTGTGTGCCTCCTGGACCCAAACTTTGAGCCAGACGACTGATCACGATGATCTGCTTGAACGGCTGAGGGTTCTGACCTGCCAGACCTGCCTCTATCCTGAAGAGATTGTTGATACTTTCAGAGGATGGTGGGAGCAAGTCCTTCGTGACGAATTAGTTTGCCTTGCATGTCTTGCTGTGGGAGATGCCTTTCTTTTCCATGCGTCAGGAGAATGGTTCATGCAAGGCGAAGTCGCCATCCCCTCACAGCATACTAAGGTTGAAGAGTTCTTTTTTCAAGAAGCTCAGAGTTTGCAGGAGGTAAATCTTTCTGTGCCTTGCGAACCCAGGTACGCGCCTTGCGTGTTTGCGCACCTGTTTTCAGGTGCAAGAAGAGCTGGGGACTTCCAGCAACATGTCGAAAGACTTGGCGCTGTCGCAGTCTCCATTGATATTATTTATGACATCACGTGGGGAGATCTCCTTAAGCCTGAGACATTCCTGCTCTTCGACCGGGCCCTACGCCAAGGAGTTTTGAGGGGGTTCCTTGCGGGGCCCCCGTGCGAAACCTGGACACGGGCGCGAGCAGTCTTGTCCGAGGTGTACCATGTACGCCCTGTGCGAAGCCGGGCTCGGCCTTACGGCCTCTGCTGTCTTACCCGCAAAGAGAGCGAGCAGGTCTTGATTGGGACGAAGCTCCTTGGAGTTGCACTACGATTATTTGTTACGGCGCTTCTTGTTGGAGCTACTGCGGTGATCGAGCACCCCTCGGAACCCCACGACATCCAGGACTATGCGTCTATTTGGCGGCTACCCTTGGTTCGTTTCCTCCTACGGTTTCCCCGTTGCCAACTACTCTCGCTGTTTCAGGGTCATTTCGGTGGACTGTCGCCGAAACCGACTTCGTTTTTGGTTGCCAACTGCGAAGGCCTAGAGGCGGCCCTGATTCAAGGCAGAACGACACCACTCCCGAAAGGAGGATGCATTGGCAGAGACCAGTCTGGTGAATGGAAGACGAACAAACTTAAGGAGTACCCGTCTGATCTTTGTAAAGTCTTGGCTGAAGCCTTTCTTGCGGCCCAGCCTCTCGGTCGAGACTTTGACTCTCTACCTGACTGGTTCCTAACAGCGATCCAGTCGCTCCGCTCGGGGTTCGACGAAAGTGCCCCAAGAGGACCGGACTTTTGTCGCATTGAGAGGAAGGGCCAATGAGGCTTTTTGACTTAATTCAGAATTAATGCAGCAATGTCTGCCACGGACGAACCGTCCTCGGCGAATCCGAAAGAAAGAAAGAGGAACTCAGTTGAAAATTGAAAAGCACACCATGGCACGACTACGGGGAACGATGTATACGCTTGAGCATTTTGATTCTGCACATTGAACGTTTTATGTTACATACGGTTGTTAGTAGGTAGGTGTTGTTACCATGCGTTCCACTGACTGAGGGTCCCGAATTCAGTTTTCGCCACCTGCTGGAGCTGGAACTTCACCATTTCTCGCTGGTTGCCCAGTGAAGCGATGCCAGGAACCCCTAGTAGCGTCCTTGCTCCTAGTAGTAAGTAAGGCCAGGAGCCCCTAGTAGCAAAGGTTAAAACAAACGAGTTCTGTTTCGTTTGATTAAACCTTTGTTTCAAAAGACGCAGGGTGCACTGTGTGTCACTGCATGGCGGCTCAGGGATGATGTTTATGACATCGTTGATCAGAGCGTAAAAGAGTCAAAAATTGTCCCTGGCTGAGAGTGAATTGTTTCTAATAGCTTCTTGCTACTACTAGTAAGGCACTTGTTACTAGAAGCAATGCACTTGTTCCTAGTAGCTTATTGATCAGAATGCGAAGGAGTGAATGTGCGTGCAAGTTGAATATGTGTCACTCAACAGAGCCATTTTCTTTTTGTACTCGCCGCATTCGGATAGGCTTTCAAAACGTGACCGCGTATTCTAACACTTTCGCCTCGAGGTACAGCTTGGTGATAGAAAGCGCATCGTTTTCAAACGCGTTTTTTGATTTGGATCGTCCAACCTGTAAGCGATGGCCTCCAACCTAATTGCGATGACCTTCAACCTAATAGCTGTGGCTCAAGGCACCCAGGCAAGGAGGAAAAGAGACGCGGCCGTCTCATTGGATTTGGTTGGAGTACGTAGGTCCCATAGGTTGTTGTAGGTTTCAGGTTTGGAGAACCGCTGCCAGTGGTGCCTCGGAAACGAGGCACAATTAATATGTACATGGAATTCGGACATAAACAAAAACCTGAGGCGAGTAAAGTTGCAAGCTGCTTTGGGTCTAATTTACACATTGTCATGCATGTTGCATGCCTCCCTATCATCCCGAACAGAACCATTGTGTAATCGTGTTCCTTCGGAGTATGGTTGTCATGTTTGCTCAGCGCACATGCATAAGATGCTTTGCGAGTCAGGTTGTGGTTGTGTCAGTGGAACGCCACCAGAAGCGTTCAAAAAACTATTTATACAGGGCCTAGGGGTTTTGGTTGTTCCATTTTGGTTTTTATGCAATCTGTTCTCTCCAAAAGGACTCTGTCTCGTCTGGAACACGATCCCTTTCGCGTTTGGGATAGCTCAAGGTTGCGAATGTAATGCTCCACACATTGCGAATGTAATGAAGTTGCAAGGAAGCCAAGCTGGAAGGGATCCGCAAGACCTGGTCCAAGATGACAGTCGATTTTGACAACAATCGGGAGGTCGAGCTGAATTTGCGATTTCAAAGCTTATCACGCGTTTTGGGATGAATGCGAGGATTGCCCACTCTTGGCAGATCTATCAGAGGTGGGTGAAATGAATGAGTTTGAAGCAGATGAGTCAGATGAAAGCAAATCGTAAACGACTCTGGACCTGAACACATCCCTTCCTTGAAAAAGTGTGAGCTATCCTGCGTCCTGGCTAGTAGCTTACTCCCTAGCTTAATTACGTGGGCACCTGCTTGAGGAGCTTACTCCCTTGCTCAAATAAGTAGGCGCCAACTTAAGTAAGTAAGGAGGCAGGACCACAGACAAGACACAAAATCGGTTGTTTTTTTTCTATGCGTTTTACTTGTTTAGTCAGAGAAGACTGTCACGAGGTGCTGGAGCGGCTTGAGTCTGACTCGCTTGAGATGTTGTCCATGACCTCCCAGGTGACGAGCGGACAGAGCGGAAGTAAGCAGACTTGTCCTCCAACCCAATAGCAAAGGTAACCAAATAGCGATAGCGCCCACCCTAATAGCGATAGCCTCCAAACTAGAAGTGA